TTTTCTTTCCAGATTTGGAATCAGCATTAAATTTCAATCCGGAAAATTGAAGTTTTAAAAAAAGTTTAAATCAATTTCCAAAAGTAGGCGATCACGATCGACACCGCTGCAAAACGTCTGCGCATGCGCGAGTTTATATATTTCAAAATGGCGGATGGCGTGCTTCGAATAGGATGCGATCGTTGAAAGAATGGCCAAGAAAAACTCTCACCGTGTAAATTTTTCATCGAATTCAATTAAATGGATTGAACCTAACTCTGTGTGAGAGTTTTATTTGTTTGATCATTAGATTTACCGTTCTGAAAGTATTTTTCGAACTCGATGATGTTCGTAAACCTTCGTAAACAGTGTTTTCTGGTCCATACTATTAGACAAAGGAAGCAAAAGTCAAAGAGCAAACGTTAAAGTTGGGACAAATTTGCTGCTTGATGTTGATGAGGAATTCTTCGAGTTTATCCACAGGTGCCATTCCAACCATGGCTCCAAATACTTGCCCATAATAGTGTGGATGACTGTCCAAAAAATACACGTTGTTGTTTTGACCAACGAAACACACGGTCATCCCGTTCGCTATGATCAACGCTGCCAAGTTTCGTTCTCTAACTAGACGTTGTAGATAGAAGGCAAGGGAACTCTGAGGTACTTGAGGATACACAGAAGTAATAGAAAGATCCAAGGATTCCTCCAATGTCACAGTGACAGAGGCAATTACAGCTGTTAGATGGTGATTTGCTTCAGCTACACTGAAGAATGGATTGCCTAGGGATTGCGTTACATTGTCATATACCTGGTTCCCTCGAGCAATGGCAGACAACAACAATGATAACCATGTTTGATTCAGATCGGAATTACAAGTCAATTGGAGAGTAGCATAATGTAGTGAGCTAGTGTATTCCTTTGCCATTAACAAGGAGATGAAAGTACAGGCATTAGAASCATTCCTTCCAAACAGAGTTGCTTGAGACAGCTGTGGTGGTAGAAACCAGAATTTGGAGGTACCAAGCGATGATTTAGCAATCTGAATATTAACTGCGACTGGATGATGCACAGACTGGGATGTTTGCTGGGAGCTTGCACTGACATTAATTTGTGGTTGCAAAACTGTAAAGGTGTCTAATTCTTGGTCAATGTATGATTCCCAAGCTCTTGAAGAATAGTATTCAGGATCTACTGTTTGGTTGATGTGGATACTATCGTCATCACTGCCATCACCAAAATCATCATCATCTGAATGGTCTTGGGAAGTCGTGTTTGAACTGGATGTTGGTTTAAGGAGGCTTTCATTAAAGGAAGTTGCTAAGTTATTTATTGTAACATCAAGATTTTTAGTGCAGATGGGACATTTCTTTGCAACCAAGTTGAGACATGTTCTGTGGATGGTGTGGAAACATGGAAGTCTTACAGCATCAGCTGTTGAGTCAGTAACATTGCATTCAGTATAGTCACAGACTTTGGTTGCATCTGGGAATGTTGCTGGGGCAGACTTGCAGTGAGTGTAAGCAAATGGGAGAGCCTTTGCGTCGACAGTTGAGTCAAA